TATAGTGACCAACCACTACTCTCTGTCTGTAACTGTAAAGAGTTAATTGATATTTGAAGATGTATAATGGCAAATCTCATGAAACCTGTCAAGAATGACATCTGGGTCATAAAATTCTATTAATGTTTCATAAGAAAATTAAGCCAATTAAAAAAATGTTGCCTTAATATTAGGATAATTGAGCATCCTCTCCCAAATCTCATTATTGTAATGTGAAAAATAAATATTTATATTTTATTTTAAATTGTGAAGGATTTTACAAGTATTTGTACATCACAGTATACTTGTTGAATTTAATTTATGCCTTTTTTTTTTTTTATATCAGCCTGAAATAGGCTTCGTTTTCTTTATGCAAAATGTTTCTTTTTAATTCCTATTGAATTTGGGGTGAAATCTGATCTGGAAATGTGACTTCCTTTTGACATTTACCAATGAAAGATGTTGTTCTGTTGGTTTCAGATCTCAATATGATAAGAAAAAGAGCTTTAGTTTTGTTCACTGTTTTTTAAACCTCAATCTTTGGTTCAAGGTTAACTGCAAAACATCTGCTTCTGTAATCTCGTCACCTTCCAGAAATCAAGCAGGCAAGATTTGTAATTGCTATCGAATTAAGAGAGAGTCATATAAATGCATTAGGTTTTGCAGTCAAGATGGTCTGAAATTGAGCATATTGATATTGTGCTGCAAAACAGTTTTGACAAACACTTCACCTGAAATGGAACGAAATGACAAACACTACTGTCTAGTATGAAATGCACTTTGTATGGCTAATAGAGGAGCATTTGAAATGAGTTACAGCTGGCGAACAATGACACATTTCATGATTTATCATGTGTAATGATCTCAAGTCATTTTACAGTAACATTAAACTTGATTTCAGACTTTAACTACAGACAAAATTGTTTCTGAGATCTTACATGCGTGTTATTAAACATTCTCCATAGATACTTTATAAGATACAGTTTTCCAACACTGAAATAGTATGACTTGCATAATTCATCATGTCATATATTAATTTTGCCTTATTATTCAGTTCAGAACACATTCCTTTTTGCCAAAGTGGTTATTGTAAATCATTGGCACCACATATAACGGGGTTTTTAGTAAGAAAAAGGTCTAATATGTTTGGATGCATTGATTGATTTGAGTGTGACCGGTTCTAGCAATATTATAGGCTATACATCACACTTGAGGCTGGTTAATACTTGACCTCTTTCTGTCTCATCACCTTTGACCAAGTGTTAAATTGAATCGTTCCTGTTTTCAAACCTGTCCTCTAGGCCTGGGCGATAAAACGGTATCGATATTTATCGACGGTACAATGATAAATGAATGTTTTGTTCATAATTGTTTATGCAATTTACGAAGTTATATTTGATTTATATGAGTTAATTTAGACATAATGCACGTTTTTTTATAGACAGTTATTTCCATGCGTTGACATTATGTGCTGCATTATTTTGCTCATTGCGCCCTCCTGTGGCCTCGGGAGACAAGCCAAAAGTTTCCTTAAAGGGGTCATATGATGTTGCTAAAAAGAACATTATTTGGTGTAATGAAATGTGTTTATGCGGTTTAAACCATACTGTTGATGCTGTGTCCCGGCCGGAGCAACGAGACAAAAACATTAAAATCCATTACAAACGAGGCATTTGTTGCATCCAGTGGGGACATAATTATGGATTATAATGACTTAAACGGTCTTTTTACGCATTGCATTGCATCGCGCCGTGTAAACATAAAACTCTGTCTGCATTTGTGATCACAGAAATGACAAACAACAAGCCCTACTCTACACTGCTCAAAACTCGCGTTTGAATCATCAGTGACAAATCCTTTAAATGAAAACGTACTTACGTGAGTCAGAACTGCCGGCATTGTAGTCTAACGTTACTCTCCCAGGATCAGTAAACAGTCCTCCATAAAATGCGCTGCACACATCTGGATATTTGGGTTAAACTGTTCTGGAACAGTGTTGTAAATACAACTTAACCACTGATTTGTAGTCGTGTCCTCTTTTGGAAGACCAAACAAAGTAGTTTCGCTTTCACAACGAAAAACACAGTGCACTGAGGCTGGGATAGAGTGAGTGCGTAGGTGTGGCTGACTCTTAACTTTTATAAAGAATATCTCTTTGGATTTGAGACTTTAGTCTTTGCAACTTTACAGATCTTCTTTATGCACCAAGAGCTTGTAACACTCCATAGAGAAAGGAAAAATTGAAATCGCATCATATGACCCCTTTAAAACCTATTTAATCTACATATAAATCATTAGAAATTAGATATGTTTAGTTTTTATTGTGTGTTTGACTGTTAAAACAAACAAAAAATTTGTTGTTTGTCTCAAATTGGGTTAATTAAAAAATACAAAAAAAAATTCTATTGCTCTTTTTAAAAAAGGTTATAAAAAATGTGAATAATTATTGTTACCGAACGTTATGAAACATTATATCGTTGATCATTTTTTTTAGCTGTATCGCCCAGTCCTACTGTCCTCATGTCGTCGTCTCTCACTCTCACCATACTGCTGCATTTACAGGACATTCAGCACAATGTCTGCAGATACACGGCTTTAAACATTCTGTAATTCTGCAAACTGAGATTTTGTGTTCCAAGATATTTGCATTATACATAATCAAAGGTTTATGTTGATAAATGGCATTTGGAATGGCTATATTTTGTTCAAATATGTCACTTTGGCATACTTCAGTTACTTTTTTTTTTCAATACTAAGGTAATTTGATTATCTCCAGATTTACCACAGTTACTTGTTATAATAAGATTGAAAAGTACTTCTTGATTGCTTTGCCTTTGCTCACCTGTAGTCAGCTGAACTGATTCTGTACCGTCAGTATTGGGATAGACGGCTACACCTGACACTGAAAATACTGCAGGTATAGCTTTAGGATTACTTCTGGGTAGATAATGATATAGTGATGAATACAGATTTTCATCGTTATTTAGCAGTACGTCAAGGAGCCCAATGGATCAATTCTGTCCTTTTTCTGGTTGCTTCCTGTTTTGATTTCATGACTGTTCCTCAGGAATGATTGATTGTACATTGGCATGATACTGAGGGATTGATTTCTACAGCTACCCTTTGAATGTAATTTAGTTTGACGTGAGATGGTGTGGCACTGGGAATCAGCCAAATGTGGAATACTTCCTTGGACGGCAGGTTCAGCGTCTGCAGACTCCACTTCCAGCCTGTCGTGTGATAAGCTCAGTTTCTGATTTGTGCCCACTTCCGATTCTCATTCTTTTTTTTTTTCTTTTTTTTTATGAATTGAAAATAAGATACAAGTCTTTAAAATTAAACAGATGCTTTATTTTACAGAGAACAAAAACGATGAAAAAATATATATGTACAAAATTACTTTTTCTGTATAAAGAGAATCACAATGAGAGAATTTACTCTATTCGAAGCTTGTTCTTATTTTGTTATGGCCGGTTCAGTCTAATAAGATGTAACGAAGAACTTTTCGAAGCCTACTAAGTATTTATGTCATGCAATGAAAGTAATAAATGAAGTTTTCTTAACAACTGGAGCTCTCTGCTATTTTTTTTTCTTGCATCTTTTTCCGAGTACAAAAGGTGTCACAAGATGCATTGCCCTATTCTGAGATACAGAGTGGATATTAAGATCACATACCCAATTTTTGTTGGACTAAATGCTGAAATCATTCTATCTGTCTATCTATTTTATTTATTTTTTCTTTAATTTATATATTCCTATATATTTGAGTGGTTTAAACATCCAAAGTACATAACTTCATAGCTCATATTCCTTTTTTGAGCCTCATGAAAAAAATACAGCATACACGGTATGTCTTCGGAGTCATTATGAAGTGCTCTTGTGCATTAGTGGTGATCCAGAAGAGCTTGCCCTCTTTTAGGTATCTCTTAACACCAGCAGTTGTCATGGGAACACTCATAGCTGCCACAGGAAGACCCTCCATCATGATTCCCGGAAGCAGCAGATGAAGGAGATGTGATGGTGATGGTGTGGGAAGGAGGTGAGGATGACAGCAGCCGTCCCCTTCAACCTGACCACATCTAAATCAGTGTGCTCAGTTGATTGCTCGTTGGGCTGTGCTTTGCTCCAGTGGATGTGGCGGTCACACAGAGTGGGGCTCTTCTGACCATCAGTCTCATCATGAATAAACCACGAGTGAAGGAGACGCACACTTTTGGGGAGAGGAAGGAGATCTGTAACCAGTCGAGTCCCAGCAAGAAATCTACACCGGTGAGTCTGTAGCTAAGTTCCTTATAATATAGTGACGTATAGTAGCGACCGGTTGTGATTGTGTTGAGCTCAGCAGAGGTGTCTGCATTTGATAACGGCTCTGAAAATACAAACAAACGGGCGCTATGGGGTGACCGTGAGAGCGTTTGGTGCAGACAGTAAAACCTGTATTCAACAGTGTATCAGCAAACAAAATCACAAGGCCGCTCAAGAGGACCATGATCCGAACTAAAATCGCTGCGCAGAATTTGGTAGGAGCGATTGTACATATTTAGGAAAACGACATGTAGACGCGCTTGAAGTCCAGTTGCACAGTACTTGACAATACAGTGCTTCACTGACTGCAGAAACGACGCAGATTACGCATCGATTTAACGAGAATGAAAAAGTTTCTTTTGAGGACGTTACGTTTGGCCACTTTGCCATTTATGTATTTGTTTGTTTAATATCATCTATCTGTCTGTCTAAAAAACATTTGAAATTTTTATTTTTTTTTTGTTCTTATTGCACAGGCTATTTATTTATTTAATGTCTGTTTGCCTAAAAGCATTTGAAATTGAAATGATTGACATTCTTGGCCTTATTGCATGGTTGTTTATTAGATTAATATCTATCTGTCTGTCTGTCTTTCTATCTAATGTCTAAAAAACATTTAAAATCGGTTGTTTGACATTTTGCTTTATTGCGTTATTTGTTTATTTAAATAACATTTAATATTTTTAATGGCTTTTTTTTTTTGTTCTTATTGCATAGGCTATACATTTATATACATTTATGTCTGTCTGTTTTCCTAAAAGCATTTGAAATGGAAATGATGACATTGCATGGTTTGTTTGCTTGTTCATTTATTTAAAATAACATTTGTGCAATTTTTTGGGCTTATTGTACAGGTTTGCTATCTAGGTCTATGTCTGTCTGTCTAAAAAAAAACGTTTGAAATTGGTTAATGACCAATATTTTACTGTTTATTTTTTTGAAGTTGGTTGTTGGCAATTTTGTCTTTATAGCTTTTTCTGTCTATCACCTATGTATCTGTCTGTCATCTATCTATCTATCTATCTATCTATCTATCTATCTATTTAGGTTAACATATTACCTTTGACATCCCTAAATAATAATAATAATAAAACATATTTTTAGTGCAATTATGTTTCCTTACAGATGCGTAATTCACTCTTTGAACTCATTGTAGTTATTAAGATATATCTTTTTAAATGCATGTCAGTTTAATAAAACCTTTATCTGTCTGCTAATTTCAGTGAAAGTTAGAGAAGCCATTGAAGAAGGTGAGTGGAATGGCTTAGGAGAGTAATTAACTTTTAATGGTAGAATCATAAATATACTAATTTTGATTCAATATGAAATTCTTTCATATTGAAGAGAATCTACAAAGCCCACGGGCTGGACAAATTCTTTGAGCATGAGAAAGCCCATGAAAATAAACCCCTTGATCATGTATGTTCAATTAAAATGTAATCTTTAAACTCCATTTGATGATCCATAATGCTAATGATGTTTGCTGTAAACACTTTTTCACAAGAAAACAAGTATATTATACTTCTGACAACAGTGAATTATTATCATTTTTCATAGGGACCACTTAAGGGGTTCTTGGAAGCTCTGGGGAAACTATCCCAAAGATCAGCGCTTGGACTGTCCTATCCGCACCTACTTGTTACAGCTCGCAGTGCAGCCAGTTCAGGCACCCGGGCCCTCAAGACGTTATGTTCCTGGGGTCTAGAGACAGATGAGGCCCTCTTCCTAGTAGGAGCACCTAAAGGCCCCATGCTGGAAAAGATCAGACCTCACATCTTCTTCGATGATCAAATGTTCCGTGTGGAGGGAGCAGCAGAACTTGGGACAGTGGCGGTTCATGTTCCCTATGGAATAGCCCAGAAGTTTCAATCAAAGACAGTGAGGGATGTAAAAAAATAAATTAAAAAAAAGACATGTCAGCCAAGCAGCTAGAGTGAATACTGCTCTGTCCATCCGGGGTGTGACGAGTGATCCATTTAAATCAGGGTTTTAAAGGGAGAGTTCACCCCAAAAATTAAATTCTGTCATCTATGAAGGTCAATGGCTACCATCAACTGGCTGCCAACCAATTTTGTGCTTTTTTTGTCACATTGCAAAAAAGATAACCTAAATAAAGGCCAGAAAGGGCCAGGTTGTCAATGGCATCATAGCTTTGAAGTTGTTTACTATGTTATATCAAGCCATAAGTAAACAGAGAAAGAAAACGGTTAAATGGGCAATAAGTGGCATACTGTTAAGTTAAATGGTTACATTTTCTGATCGAATGTAATAGCAAATCTTATTTAATTTATTATGCCACAGTCGAAGAATTATCTGAAGCTAAAATGCACCAAATCACCTTTAACGTTTCTGGCCTTGCATATATTTGGTTTTATATTGTAATTGCCTTGTTTTGAATGAACATCTCTGTTATTGTTTACCATAAAGGGCTGTTTTGCACTCTGTATTGTAACCTTTATATGTGTATATCTGTTATGCAGTATTTTAATCAGTGTTACTATGTATACAAATTGGGGTCACTTGTTGCGGTGTTTACCATGGATGTGAAATCCTATGTGTTACTAACTCAGGGCATGCTCAAGTCTGAACATCATAATAAACAGTGAAGAGGAAATATGTTGAAAAATAGACCATATTTTTTCTGCAATATGGGTAGGTAAAGTAGGTAATAAACTTTCTCCCAGTCATCTGAAATGCAGCAGTTTGGACGGTGCGAGAGAGATACTCTTGTCACTTGTGTAAAGCAAAACAAATGAAGCTTTGGGCGAAATGACAGAAATTTCCATTTCCCCATTTCTCTACTTCTTCAAATAAGCCCAAACTTCAAATTACCTGTGTGTGTGTGTGTGTGTGTGTGTCTGTGTGTGTGTGTGTCTGTCTGTGTGTGTGTCTGTCTGTGTGTGTGTGTGTGTGTGTGTGTGTCTGTGTGTGTGTGTGTGTGTGTGTGTGTGTCTGTGTGTGTGTGTGTGTGTGTGTGTGTGTCTGTGTGTGTGTGAAGGACAGTTACCATAGTAACTGAAATGGGTCCTGTTGACTGTTTTAAGGGCGGGACTTCAAAAATGTCGTCATTTGCACTTCTGTGTTTTCCGTAAAACAAGAAGCAGAAGAATGTGGCCATTTGAGAAACTCGTCCAGCTTGTTAATCTGTCACCCACTTTAAATATTACGCCTAACATCTGGATGGTGCTCACTTTAGTTCGTGTTTATAGATGATACAATAGTAAGGTAACAGCAAATAGTTTCAGTCTTTGATTCAGGTCACATGATTCGTGTCATATGACATCGATGAGCCCTCGAAAGAGCAGAAATCTTCCACAGTTGCCAGTAATACACTCTCTTACCAATGCTGCCGTCTACCGTGATGAGTTCAGATGGCTGAGCAGATGTGGGGACTCCTGAAGTAAAGCTCTGGATCATGGAGAGTTTGGGAGTTTTGTCCGTTCTCGCCACCGCTTGTGTTTTGGGTGAGTTTCGAATCACAGCAAATTAACAGATTAACTGAGACTTTTAACACGATGTCAAACCGCATTTTAATATTTAACTTTTATCATTGAGCTAATATTTCGCTTTGTGAATGAGCCATTTTCAAAATCAGTATTAAATGTATATCTGGACTATATATATATATATATATATATATATTTAAAAACAATTTTTTTAACATAATGTTTAATATTTTTATTGGAGAAAAAATATGTACATGTATAATTGTGTTTAGGTGTTTTTAAAAATCAGTTTCCACTATGTATGTATTATTTAGTTTTTCAATACAGAGATACGTTTACTACATCTATAAGATATTTGAACAAAACCACATTCTTCCTGATAACTAAGACAGGCCTAAACCCAACAATAGCCTAAAATCAATATCACAATACAGCTCTGCTTAGTAAACAAAGACTACTTGGGTTATTGGCCTGCCACGGCAGTGTTCTGTAGTGTTTTAAGTTTTTATGACCTCGGATTCATTCATTTGTCAATGTCGATGTTATTTGTCAAATTACTCGTTTGTGTGTTTCAAAGAATTAGTTCAAATGGTCTGAGCAGTTTATTAACAAGTCAGTAAGAGTCAACCATCTTCCTCTGAGTAAGTGGTGAAAGCTTGGAAGAGAACAAACAGAAACATGGTTCCTCACTTGTTCTTAGTATTTCTGGAGTGAAATCGAGTCATATGACCGTCTCCTCAGAATAACTGTGTTTCTTCATTGGGTGCTCGTCACGGCTAATGTGATTACATTCACAATAAAGACTCTGTTTGCCTTTCTGCTGATGGTCAACAACCAGGCTGTGCCATTTACAGTATACATCAACAGACAATAAAAACACACACAACCGAAGGAGTGTGATTCAAGTGATGCAGCAGACCCTTAAACTAACCTTGACAAAAAGCTGAGCAGTACTGAGCCAAAATGAGAAATCGTGTCATATTAACTGCTTTTGACCTTCTTTGTGCTTTATAAGTTGTGTACAGTCCACTTAAAGCTAAATTAGAGACTAGTTCAGAAACCGTTTCTTGACGGAGGTCTTATATGCTCATTAAGACTGCATTTATTTGTTATTGTGAAGTACTTACAATTTAAAATAAAATTCTATCTTAAATTTTCAATTGTAATTTATTATGGTGATGGCAAAGCATCTTCGGTGTCACATGATCCGTCAGAAATCATTCTAATCTGCTGATTTGGTGCTTAAGAGACATTCATTATTGTTATCAAAGATGAAAACGCTTGTGGTACTTATAATTTTTGCTTTTAAGACCATTGTGTCATTGTGTCATTTCCCCCGCCATTGTGTAGGAGTGGTGACGAGTCAGACAACACTCAGTCCTGCTGTGACGATCACTACAGTCAGTGCAAACATGAGCTCTGCTGCTCCCAGCACTACAGCGCTCAGCTGCTCCGGCCTCAACACTTCCACCTGCGCTGCCTGCGCTCCTGGCTCTTATTATGATAATGGTGGGTGCTTTTGTGTGTGTTAAGAACGTGGTTTCATTTTGATTTCATGTTGTCTTAAAAGTTGAAGTTGACGCATGCACTTTCTCTTTCTGTGGTCTCAGGAACTCTGTTGTGTTCTTGCTGTCCTGAGGCCGGCCTCTGTGTGTTACCTGGAGCCTGTCTTCTGTGTGTCCAGGGTTTCTATCAGCCTCAAGCAGGACAGCAGGGCTGTCTGCCCTGTTTATCTGGGTTTTACAGCAAGTGAGAGGAGAAAGTATTACACTGTTGTTTATTCAACGTATACGCAATCTTTCCATGCCAAGACTTTAACCATTTCTTCATTAGTTCCACTGGAAGCCCTGTCTGCCAGCCATGTCCTACTGGGTCCTACAGCAGTAACACAGGCTCTGCCTCCTGTACAGCCTGTGCACCAGGTAACAAGTGACATACATACATATGTAAATTCATTCATTCACTCCGCTTTCCTGCCTAAATAAATTGACATATTGAGGGGTGGAGAAAAACAAGCAAATGCAACTACATATTGAAATACTGAGGGGAAAATAAGAATTTAGATTCATTAGAATTTTTTATTGAAATGTTTAAAAGTGTATTATTGTATATTTCACTGGAATCGTTCAAAAGGATTCTTTATTATATAAAAGTATACGCATCTATGAAAAAACAAACAAAAAAAAGCGCAAGTATTATATACCTTACATTTATGAGATGTAAAATGTAATCTGAAATTAAGCGTTTAATAAAGCATTAATAAAGTCGCTGGGGTATATTTGTAGCAATAGCCAAAAATGCATTGTATGGATCAAAATTATTACTTTTTTTTTAATGCCAAAAATCGTTAGGATATTAAGTAAAGATCATGTTCCATTAAGATATTTAGTAAATTTCCTACTGTAAATATATTAAAACGTAATTTTTGATTAGTAATATGCATTGCTAAGAACTTCATTTGGACAACTTTAAAGGCGATTTTCTCAATATTTAGATTTTTTTGCACCCTCAGATTCCAGATTTTCAAATCGTTGTATCTCGGCCAAATATTGTCCTATCCTAACAAACCACACATCAATGGAAAGCTTATTTATTCAGCTTTGAGATGATGTATATATCTCAATTTCGAAAAATTTACCCTTATGACTGGTTTTGTGGTACAGGGTCACACATATTCTACCGGTTTTTTTTCTTTCTCCTTTTTGCTTCAGGTTTCTACACATCTTTGCAAAATTCAACATCATGTAACCCATGTCCACAAGGCACGTACTGCAAGTAAGTTCCTTTTCTGAACATTGCACCATAAATAATACATCTCAGGCTTTGAGTACTATGCACTTATTAAATTTTTATTAGATTTTTAATTAAAAAATGAAACATTGGATATTTAATAGTTTAGTTCTTGTTCTTATTTGAAGAAATCATTACAGTATCTCGACATTTTCAAGTTTAAATTATATGGCTATTAAAATGAACCATCTCCATTTATAGACTTGATGACATGCTCTCTGTTGACTCTGTTAAATTTCAGTGCTGTGCTTTGTTTTCCTATTATGTTAGTCGACTGTCACAGTGGTGTCATTGCAGTGCCACAGGACTGTCAGAATTAGTTGTAAACAGTTGTTCTTTGTTACAATCCTCCTTTCTGCCCTTTTGATAGTTCCTCCAGCTGTACTCAGTGCCGGGTCTGTCCTGCAGGCTCAGAGGCTCTACAGACCGCTTCCAAACAATGTACACCTTGTCGCCCAGGTATCTTCTTCTTTTAGCCACATTGCTTACTCAAATTATAGGAAAATGCAAACTAATGAAATGTAAATGTTTTTGTGATTTAAAACTCTGGAGACGGATAAACCCACGTTACTCAGAAATCTGACATACATGATGAAATCGATTACATCAGCGTGATACAAGTTTTGTCATAGTTCAGTACATGAATAAAGGTCTTTTGTTGAATGAGAAAATCTGAATTTCCACACTTATGAAACTCTAATGATGTCAATATTTTTTTTTGTCAGGAATGCACAAGCCTGCCCATCAAACCATGTGTCAGATTTGCAGCAGTGGTTTCTATCAGATCCACTGGGGCCAGGAGAACTGTGACCTTTGTCCTGAAAACCACTACTGCCCTGTGAGTGATTACTTCCTCGAAACACGCACACACACAGTCTTTACTGTTACCACTTAACTTGATCCTCTTGCTTGAAATGCAAATCATATACTGTTTTTTTTAATACTTCCTCATTTATCTAAGAACATTATAAATGAGAGCATATTTATGATTACAAATGTGTCACTACATAGAATAAATGTGCTTCTGTCTATATAAACCAGAGTCCTGATGTAAATCCGATCCAGTGTCCCACTGATGCGTTCTGTCCTGAGGGCAGCACTGTCCCTGGTTACTGCATGGAGACCTTCTTCAGAAAAGCAGGGGAGACGTGTGAACTTTCTCCTGTTACCATTGCACTGCTTGTTATTGGAGGAGGAGGTATGAATGGTTTACATCACACCATCTCTCAGCTGAACTTTGTTCCCAAACCAAAATGTGAAAAATGTCAGTTTCACAGATAAGACATTTAGCTAAGCTCCGCCTCTTTATTTATGCAGTTTTGCGACATTTTGTCAGCAATGGTCCATTGTGTACTGTCAATTAGGGCTGCACGATTAATCGAATGCGATTGTCATGCGCATTTTGATAGTAATGCCAGTTCTGTAATCAGCAGGAAATCATCATCACATGCTTTCAGATGGAGCGAAATGTACTACACATAGCCGTAGTTCACTGACAAGTTACGCAAAAAAAATTCGCAGACGATTTTATTGCACGATTCTGAAATCGTTGGCGATAATGACAGCTGTTTGCAGAGCTTCTCAGTGAACTACGGCTCTGTGAAGTAAATGCTGCTCCATCTGAAAGCATGTGAAAATACCACATTTAATAACATATTTTTACTCCAAACTCACTTCATAACGTCAGTCGAGTTTGAAATAAATCCTTCTGTGAGATGATGTGGCTTCTTACACAGAATAAGTCACGCAACATATTTCACAGTATTTAAGCAGTGATAAAGGCATTGCATTATAAATATATTTTATTTTAATGAAAGTTATAATAATAAGAACTCAGATAAACCGTATATTGCCGTAGTCGTGTGTTTATTAGTCACGTTGAATCAATGAAAGCAGTTGAATCTTCTGTTTATTCAGCTGCAGCGATAGGCATTTTCTGGGTTTCTTCTGCGAGGTGTATTTGGAGTTTCAGCGCGAGAGCGCCCTCTGGGCTTTGGATGGAGATTTACTGCTGATCACAGAACCGTGCTTCACTGAAAGATACGCATGACAATCGCCGCTTCTGTCGAATCGCGATCTCGATTCCATTTCGATTTATCGTGCAGCCCTACTGTCAATAGTGTGGAGATGCATGAAGCACGGCTCCCACAGAAATCACTTTCAAACCAAGCAGCTTTCTGTTGGTCAACGACGTGGCGAGTCCATGATAAACTTTAACCCCTTGTGAAATCTGTGTGGGGAAATCTTTTGCCCTAATGCAAACGTTCCTGACTGGATTTCACCCTCAAAAATGAGCTGAACAGTGGTAAATGTACTCAGTCATACAAGGTAAAATTATTATTTAACTTACTAATTGGTCAGTATTAGATTTAAGATTGTGCGGTAACGTTTTAAGGTGGGGTTTAGCAAAAGGTCAGTTGTCGCTCTTAATTTATTCTTCTCCTCCACAGTGAGTCTTCTCTTCATCATCATCTTGGTTGTGCGGAGGAGAAGAGATGATGACAGCGAGCTTTCCCTTGCCCGGACGCCCCTCCTGCGAAAAGACCGCCCACCTGGTCGCTTCTATGGAATCCCTTGTGATGCTGAGCCTGTTTATGCAGGCTGGTGACATTACCATGTGCATAGCTGCACACATTTTGTCTGAAAGTTTCTATTTAGAACTTAGAACTGTTCTGTGCTTTATATTGGTAAGATACTATTAAATATTTAATGAATGAAGATGCACTTTTCTGCATTCCATTTTTAAAACCGGTTTACTACTGACTGTGTTGTGAAGTTACATCTCTTTTGATTCGGACTTCTTTTCAAGTCTGTAATGTATGAGAAACCATTCAGTATTTTGGGGCGGGGATGTTTTCTTTTGTATAAATATGTTAAGCCACGGCACTGAAAGAATGTTGGACTAAATTGTGCTGGATTATGCTTATTTTGTTCACGGATGTGTTTATTTTTTTTGGTACCACTACGTTTGTCTACCTAAGGTCCTGCAGGTATATTGTATTATATAAATTTGCAGTATTTCTTGTATTTAACATGTGATGTGTCTCATATTCATTTTAAAACTGAATATTTTGGACAATTTCCAAGGTTGTAAACGGGAATAAACAGCTTTTCGCAAGTTTGATATAAAAGTGTGGCGTCTCTGCAAGTTTGATGGGTCATTCCTGAAACATTCCTTCAGAAATCCCCAACATGTGCTTTCAGTATTTGAACTGAAACTCTTATGACAACTCCAGTTTTATTGATTATACTTTCATTTTAAAAAAATATAAAAAAATGTATTTTAATTTAAAAATCACATTGTTATAAAATTATTTAATCTGTTATTGCATAATTCTATAAAATATATTTTTGGAAATATTAAAGCCATAGATGAGATTGCACTAGGCAAAGGTATACTGATGCCGGTAGGTGTCAGTACTATGGCAAGTGTAATTAACATAAAACTATGGTTTGACGATCCATAAATATATTTTGGATGGTTACAATTGTATTTTGACGAGACATAATTACAATTTGACTAGTCAGAGTAGCAATTAAAGATATCTGCAATTATAATTGGACAAGAAATCTGATTAGCGATATCTAAATACTTTATGACTAGTCAAAACGTTGTGTGTAGATTGAGATTGAGTCACTTTTACACGTGCACCAGCTACGTTTTTATTTTGAATTACTTGGGTATAACTTTATTACACAATTCTTAGACATAATGGCGGAAGACAACAGTTTCCAGGGTAGGATTGGTTAATAAAATGAGTAAGGTGGGGCTTAACAAAGGTGTATTTGCATGCACATTTTAGATCTCTATAAAGAAATTGACTAGTCACATTGTTAATTCCAGATATCTACATTGAGATTCCTCCTAGTCACAAAGCTAAATGCAGATATCTCCAAAGAAAGATCTTCCTAGTCAAAAATCAGATCGTGATATCCATAATTAAACTGCAGGTATGAGTTTTGACTAGGAAGAATTCCAGTTCAAGATATCTCTTAAGTTTTGCATAGTCAAAAATCTACAACTGTAATTTGACTAGTAATAAATTACTTTCAGATATCTAATAATGTATTTTGGATATCTTAAATTTGATTAGGAGTAATCAAACACCAGTTAGAGATGACTCCAATTATCATTTTCACTTGCGATAATTCAGTTAGAGATATCTCTAGTTTAATTATTACTAGTAAAATTGTAATTTGAGAAATCTCTAATTAGAATTACGCCTCATACAAAATCAATTATAGATATCTTTAATAACAATTTCTACCAGTCATAAACTCATCTGTAGATATCTACAAATATCAGTGTCTTCTGTGTGAGGGTGACAGAAGGGGGAAAAAAGAGTTTTGGAAGGACATTCAAATGTCATGTGACTTAAAAACAACATATCATTAGGTGCGTTCGATTTGAAGCCATAGACTGTATGAAGCACGGCTACAGATGGCAGTCAACGAGAGTAGCCGCTTGCAGTCGGGGGCGGAGTTGAAAACGGAGCCGTCGAGCCGGACACTTTCTGCTCCCGTTAGTGATGCTCGCGCGGTGTTTGCATATTCTATCACAGATGAAGTGAATTAAAGGGGTCATATGATGCTGCTAAAAAGAACAGTATTTGTGTATTTGGTGTAATTCGTTTTAGGTAGGCGTGGCTGACTCTGAACTTTTATAAAGAATATCTCTTTGGATTTGAGACTTTAGTCTTTGCAACTTTACAGATCTTCTTTATGCACCAAGAGCTTGTAACACTCCAAAGAGAAAGGACAAATTGAAATCGCATCATATGACCCGCATCATATGACCCCTGAAACTTACAGACGTTTCAGAAACGTTTTCATGAGCAACAGATATATACTAATTATATACTGCTTAATACATCGCCATCTGTTCAAGAATAAAGTTCAACGTAAATATATACTATTTAAATACTAATAAAGTGGGGGAATATATGCTTTCATCAGTGTTTTATGATAAACGTGACTCAATATAACATTGCGACTACAGTAAAAAAAGCTTTTACTGTTGTAAAAACACAGATTTGTGGCTATTATTGGAATTTAAAAGGTTAGAATAAACCCGAAATACACGTGATAGTTGTCATACGGTAAATCTGGCCAATCGTGAAATGGCTGTCATCTTCAACGCTCCTGCAGCCGCTTTGGAGAAACTGCGCCGGCTGAGTCAGCTTTACATTTTAATTACACTTTATTCTGTCACATCCAGCTGTAGTGATGACGTCCCCCAAGCAACAGTCTGTGCCCCGTTAGACTGTAGTGATGACGTCCCTCCAGCTTTATTCTGTCACATCCAGCTGTAGTGATGACGTCCCCCAAGCAACAGTCTGTGCCCCGTTAGACTGTAGTGATGACGTCCCTCCAGCTTTATTCTGTCACATCCAGCTGTAGTGATGACGTCCCCCAAGCAACAGTCTGTGCCCCGTTAGACTGTAGTGATGACGTCCCTCCAGCTTTATTCTGTCACATCCAGCTGTAGTGATGACGTCCCCCAAGCAACAGTCTGTGCCCCGTTAGACTGTAGTGATGACGTCCCTCCAGCTTTATTCTGTCACATCCAGCTGTAGTGATGACGTCCCCCAAGCAACAGTCTGTGCCCCGTTAGACTGTAGTGATGACGTCCCTCCAGCTTTATTCTGTCACATCCAGCTGTAGTGATGACGTCCCCCAAGCAACAGTCTGTGCCCCGTTAGACTGTAGTGATGACGTCCCTCCAGCTTTATTCTGTCACATCCAGCTGTAGTGATGACGTCCCCCAAGCAACAGTCTGTGCCCCGTTAGACTGTAGTGATGACGTCCCTCCAGCTTTATTCTGTCACATCCAGCTGTAGTGATGACGTCCCCCAAGCAACAGTCTGTGCCCCGTTAGACTGTAGTGATGACGTCCCTCCAGCTTTATTCTGTCACATCCAGCTGTAGTGATGACGTCCCCCAAGCAACAGTCTGTGCCCCGTTAGACTGTAGTGATGACGTCCCTCCAGCTTTATTCTGTCACATCCAGCTGTAGTGATGACGTCCCCCAAGCAACAGTCTGTGCCCCGTTAGACTGTAGTGATGACGTCCCTCCAGCTTTATTCTGTCACATCCAGCTGTAGTGATGACGTCCCCCAAGCAACAGTCTGTGCCCCGTTAGACTGTAGTGATGACGTCCCTCCAGCTTTATTCTGTCACATCCAGCTGTAGTGATGACGTCCCCCAAGCAACAGTCTGTGCCCCGTTAGACTGTAGTGATGACGTCCCTCCAGCTTTATTCTGTCACATCCAGCTGTAGTGATGACGTCCCCCAAGCAACAGTCTGTGCCCCGTTAGACTGTAGTGATGACGTCCCTCCAGCTTTATTCTGTCACATCCAGCTGTAGTGATGACGTCCCCCAAGCAACAGTCTGTGCCCCGTTAGACTGTAGTGATGACGTCCCTCCAGCTTTATTCTGTCACATCCAGCTGTAGTGATGACGTCCCCCAAGCAACAGTCTGTGCCCCGTTAGACTGTAGTGATGACGTCCCTCCAGCTTTATTCTGTCACATCCAGCTGTAGTGATGACGTCCCCCAAGCAACAGTCTGTGCCCCGTTAGACTGTAGTGATGACGTCCCTCCAGCTTTATTCTGTCACATCCAGCTGTAGTGATGACGTCCCCCAAGCAACAGTCTGTGCCCCGTTAGACTGTAGTGATGACGTCCCTCCAGCTTTATTCTGTCACATCCAGCTGTAGTGATGACGTCCCCCAAGCAACAGTCTGTGCCCCGTTAGACTGTAGTGATGACGTCCCTCCAGCTTTATTCTGTCACATCCAGCTGTAGTGATGACGTCCCCCAAGCAACAGTCTGTGCCCCGTTAGACTGTAGTGATGACGTCCCTCCAGCTTTATTCTGTCACATCCAGCTGTAGTGATGACGTCCCCCAAGCAACAGTCTGTGCCCCGTTAGACTGTAGTGATGACGTCCCTCCAGCTTTATTCTGTCACATCCAGCTGTAGTGATGACGTCCCCCAAGCAACAGTCTGTGCCCCGTTAGACTGTAGTGATGACGTCCCACCAGCTTTATTCTGTACCACTTCCAGCTGTAGTAATGACGTCCCCCAAGCAACAGTCTGTGCCTAGTTAGACTGTAGTGATGACGTCCCCCAAGCAACAGTCTGTGCCTAGTTAGACTGTAGTGATGACGTCCCTCCAGCTTTATTCTGTACCACTTCGAGCTGTTGTAATGACGTCCCCCAAGCAACAGTCTGTGCCCCGTTAGACTGTAGTGATGACGTCCCACCAGCTTTATTCTGTACCCCTTCCAGCTGTAGTAATGACGTCCCCCAAGCAACAGTCTGTGCTCCGTTAGACTGTAGTGATGACGTCCCTCCAGCTTTATTCTGTACCACTTCGAGCTGTTGTAATGACGTCCCCCAAGCAACAGTCTGTGCCCCGTTAGACTGTAGTGATGACGTCCCACCAGGTTTATGTTGTGACTAGGGTTGGGTCGATAGACGATGGCTGACAGACATCACGATGTTAAGCCGACATCGTGATCCCCCCATTATTAGTCAGTTTATGAACATAATCCAACACGCATGCACACTTTAATCGGCAGTTCAATGGTTTATGCTTTAAATTGACTTGAATATGCACTTTCTTTAAGGATAGTTGATAACTAACATGGAAATAAACATTTTTAACATTAAACAAGATTTCATTCAAATTTTTATTTATGTATGAGGTGAAGTTGTATATTTTACACAGGAAAGAATTTGACCACTAATAGTTCTGTAGTGTGACAAATGAATATTTTAAGGCTATTAAGTGTATTATCAAAATTAATACATAAATTAAAGTCATTTTAAAAATACTTATAGGTTTAGTAATTGCTGTCACTGATTGACAATTTATGTCAACACCTGTTATTTATCTTTTAACAGACATCAGTTGCCGTTATGAAATCGGCAGCTGGGTGAAGGAAGCTTTGGAACCGTTTAAGAAGCAACACCTTTGGTCGATACCCTTCAGGTATCTTTATCTAGCTAATAATTTTTTTAAACTTGTCTGACTCTCCTTTGCAAGTACTGTTAGTTTATCATATATGAACTATTTAGACTACTTGACCTGTCAGACCTGTTTAGACATGCTCTACGTG